GCTTTCCTTTTAAATGGTAGTAATACTTTAGAACCAATTTAAAAGGGGAACGTTTTAAATGTGATTGTATCTCTCGAGAACTACAGTTTCGCTTCACGAGTTCAATACGACGTTTCAGAGACATATGAAATTTCACTAGCATTTCAGTGTGTCAATGTTTATTTCAGTTGCAATAGGAATTTAAAATAAAACACACGCAACATACGTTTAGAAGCGTTTACCGTCCTGCCAGAGAAAAAAAACAAGCCATTGTAACATGGCGGTCCACGCTGAAGACTACAGAGTGAAATCGGAGGTTCTCAGGGCGGTAAAGTTGTCGATATTGGTCTTCTGAGCTGCAACAACGGTATACTTTCGAACAAACATACTGTTTCCATACTCAGCCCTGAAGATGGAAATTAAATGTTTCTCCAAGACGGCGTAAAGTAAATTTTATTACCGTGGGTATCAGTGGAATAAAAAAGCCTTACCTCACTTTAAATTCAAATCTAACGTCACTTTACAATACATTAAATTTTAGCTAATTGTGGCTTAATTTGAAGCATTTAATTGATCCCGGCTAATCGTGGCTTAATTTGAAGCATTTAATTGATCCCAAACACAGATATTGAAATGTAAGGGGATATTTTATGCAATATCATGGCAAGATTTAAATACGTTAAGAGTTTGAATGACATTTTGTTAACTGCAGTATATTAAAGAGATCATAATTGCATACAACGACATTCACAAATCCGTGTATTCCAAACCACAGTAGCTTAATTTTTTTTCAGCCGTGTTATTCATTACTTTAGAAAACACTGCAATGACGTAGGAAATGAATACTAACATTGGGAATTCAATGCACTAAATTCAATCCTATGACAAAGAGTCGATTTGGAACTTGTTTGCTCTTAACTTAATGAAAAATAGACGCCGAAAGCCGTGAGCAGATAATGCAAGATGAAAACACTGTGATGCATTATGCTCGTCGTATCAAAATAAAACGGCTTCGGGAATTGTATTTGCACTTTAGTTACAACATTCAACATTTATACTGAAGTTTTTTTTGTAATTTTACCGTTAGCAAAAGACAATACGCGCCAATACATTCGTAAAGACCTCAACAGAAGACCAACATACATCGTGAGGTATGAAGGCTATACCATACGCAGACACTGAAAGTAGCAGCAGTTCGGTGACGGACGGCCGACAAAAAAGATGGTCCTGCAGTTTGGTTATTGGGCGTGTGGCTGGCAGTCTCTGATGATGGAGGCTGCATGGACCTCTGAAATGTTGTTGGACGTATACGAGACAACACAGCACAACAACCCAGAAGACTGCAATCTTCAGACTCACCGCCATGAAAACCTCAAATCCCACATAGTCTACTAGTACATTGGCAGAATATTGACTGTAGAATTTAATGTATTTGCCTTGACGACTGTTATCACAATGAGTACTTTGCCATCTAGTGAGGGAAAAATTATCACAAACTTACCGTACAGTCAGTATCAGCCATCAGTCAATTTCAAAAGAGGAATTTTATACACTCAGCAGTTCAATATCACTAATTAATTTGGTGAAAGATTTATGTTAAATTACGTGTTGTAAATGCGAACCGCGTTCAGAGATGCATGCATGTTTGCATTGATTCTTTTCGTCATTTCTGATGAAACCCGACGAAGAGTTCCTGTGTCACGTAAAGGGTTCACCAGACGAGATTTTATCGATTTGTTTGCCACAGAAAAACCGGGAAATGTATCCCTGAACCATTCTGGCAAGTGAGAACGAGATGCCGGGTAATGTTCG